TGGAGGAGAACAATCTAAATTTGAGGTTGAGACCAGTCTGGAACTTTGGTACATTTTGTATTGGATTATGTTGATCATTCAAAAATGGACCTGGCTTGCTGCGCAGCCAATATGAATGCGCAGTGTGTAGATAATTATTATTATTATAAGAGTCCACACTTGTTAAGAAACATCGCAATTTAGACCCCAATATCTCTGAACTTCAAACGCAATGGAACTTGAGTCCAGATTGCAGGATTGGTTTAATGGGCTGAAGGATCCTCGTGACTGTTTAAAACAGACTTATCTTATCTACAAGTTCAAGGCAGTAGGTAAGAAAGAATAACGTAGGTTAGATACTGTGTAAAGACATCACAAGATTCAGATGAAGCTGATAAACCACTCAAGCTTGACTTTATATTCATGCCTGAAAACCCTTGAAGAGGTTCTGTCTTTGAATACCTATAGAGACTTAAACATCAAATATTTTTCTCCAGCATCGCTGACCTAATTCATTCAAAGTAAAGCCTTCTCTCTCTCGCTCTCTTCTCTCTCTGCCCTTCTGCAAAAATCCTCTTTTCATTTTATAAATGATAACGATTAAACAATTACATAAAACACGCTGCAAACCCATTCCACTGATTCACATCAGGGAGAAGCATTTCAGTTGCAAGGCGAAACACATCACAAACAGCTACAATGATTGTGGACAATGCAGAGCAGATATTGCATTCTGTCCTGTAAAAAAAACATATATTTCTGTTCAAAAATCCAAACAAGCTTCCTACAGGAAATTATTTAATAAGAAAAAGTATATATGATTATACCACAATTATACAATGCAGGCAATAAGGAGACCAACCAATGTTGACACCGAATTTGTTCTCATAGAATAATAGTTCTCAACTCAGGAGGGAGATATGAACTTGATCGCTTCCTGTAATGGAATCTACTGTGCACTCAGTAGCTATGAGCACCATAGGGTTAGAGAAATATAGGGAGAGCAAAAAGGAAGTCATTCCAGATCTAATTAGATCTGATCAATTGGTGGAATGGGCTTGATGGACTGAATAGTGTCCTCTGCTCCTATTTTCCTACGAGTTAAAATTCCCAGGGAGTGCTAATTGTGGATTTGTACCTTTCCTGCGCATTTGGATGTAATATAAAACCACCAAATAAGTCAAAGCAGTTACAACTGTTTACTTTTAAAAGAAATGTCATTTTCTTTTGTACACCTGCTTCGTAAAACTCGCGTTGACATCTTGTTCCAGATTCGACTTTGTTTGGAACATCGTCAAGATAGCAGCACATAAAACCGATGCATCAGGCTTGTGAAAAAGCCAACCAGAACTGCACGGGTTATGTTTGCAAGGAACAGTACTACATATTGCATGGTTTTTACCCTCCCCGTACAGTCAGTAGTGGAGCTTTCCTGTTACGCATGGCCCAATTTCTATTACAGTCCAATATATTGCTTAACAACAGGATTCTATTGCATTAGATGTATAAATCACACAAATACAGCACAAGGCAACTTCCACTGTAGTAAAGGGAGTTTCCTAGCTTTACGTTCCAGACATCTGGTGAAAATGTACCATTAAAACCTACTGGTTTGACTTCACCCTGCTCATATTTCAACTTTTGTTAAATATTTAATAACGTCTGTTGCTAACAATTATTTGAACTTTATACGGATGGACGGGATGTACTTCCTGCAACTTCTTCAGTCTTCTGCAAGCAACTCCCGATCACGTTTGAAAAACTAGCGAGTCTGCTGCCAAGGAAAGCTGGGCTGGTGGACATTTTCCTCCTGTTTGTCTGCTTGCTAGATAATTGCCTAGTTAGCTGTTAGTTAAGCGCTCCGAGACGGCGTTTCTATGACTCGGTGTAATAATAATGATCCTTTTTAATGATCCATGTGGGCCTCATGGCTTTGGATGCAATCGCTCTCGCACCTTCGGAGAATCCGAAACATTGACTGTCCAGCGCATTGGGACATCCTCCCGACGCGAAAGGGCTATAAAAATGTAATTTTATTGTTGTTGTTGATGTCCCAAAGGATTCACAGGTTTCGCTGTAAACTAAATTCATTGTAAACGCTGTGGCTGCAAATTAGTGATAAATAATCCTTGCATTTGATGTAGGGCATATAATGTGCACAGCACTTCACAATTCATTTCTGTAAAGTGTAGTGACTGTGATTTCTGAACTCTTACCAAAGCAGAATGGCTCAGAGCAACGACCACAGCCTGAAACTTGGAAGAAATCTTTTAACTTCCAAAGTCCATTTTGAAATTCCAATTCTTGAGCAAAGCCACTTTTCAGAAAAGACGGTACAGTAGTGTAATTGTGAACGTCAAAATCTTGCATCAATTCTAGACGAGTTTTATTCAGCACACTTTGAGATTGTGAGCAGTGTAAAATGCTTACGTCAGTCACAAACACACATTTTTTTATTGTTTTTCGTGGGGGCAATCAATCTCACCCGTTTGCCTGACAAAAATGGAAAGAAAATGGCAGTACGTTATATTTGACAAATAACAGAACAGTTAAACAGCTTTATATCTTTCATTTTTATGCCAAAATTAAAACACATGATAATATAATCAGCTCCAACATTTGTACTGACCTTTTGGTACTTAAGTGGTTTTAATGGTTTATGAATCTGTCCTTTAGGATTTCACAAAGCCTAAACACAAATCAGTCAGAATTATTTCTTGTAATTTTCCCAGTCTGACACTGAGGACTAATCTAAAACAAGCCAAGGCATGATGCATTTCATTTAGCTAAAATGCAAAATATTAAAACATGCGCATTTATATTCCCAAATGGAATACTGCTGAGACCTTATTAAGTAAATTATTTCTGGGCCATTTTGCTGGGCTTCCGAGGACTGCTTGTGTCGATGGCGTTTGTGGATGTGTAAAATAACAAATAGCTCTTAAAATGTCCCCTGATCATCCCGAAATCCAACTGACACCTGTGTTGTGATTAATTGTCATGAGATGGCAAGGTTAGAAGAGAGCCGACTCAGAACATCTGCAGACATCCCTGTACTTGAACTTGGTCAGAAGTTTCAGTCAAGAAAATGCTCTTTCCAATAAATCTCAACAACTCGTTTCAAGAGAGTTCTAACCTTTAAATACTAGTACATATTCACCCACAAAAAAGAATCTACTTATAGTATATCTGTGACAGGCTTTGGGGCATCATCCTTCGTGATAGGCGCTATACAAACGTGAGTATTTCTGGAACACTCTTCTCTATCCCTTCCCTCCGCCTTGCCCCTTCCTTCCCCGTCTTCAGGTCATGCCTGAAGACCTTCCAATTCGACCGTACCTACAGTCACCCCACCCTCCCCGCCAGCTCAGGTCATGCTCCGTCAAAGTCAAGCGCTCCGGGACGCTACCCTGCATGAGTGAGGGGCGCTACACAAATGCAAGTTGTTGCTGTGTATTATTATTAAGCACACCACATTTCTAGTTACACAAACTTTCAGCATGTCCTGTGTGGCTGGCTAACTCTAAGACATAAGAATGTTTTTTCTCCAACAATTAAGTTCAGTTTACAGGCTCTGCGTGGATTAAAGCCACATTAAGTATGGAGTTCTTCAATGCTTGCTTCCTGGGATTTCTCCATATTCCAGTAATTTTCCAACCAAACTTATTTTCGTCTTTTTGTGTATAAAAGTTGTCCTCCCTCCACCAACTTCTGATAAATTTAACGTATAAACCAATAAATAATGATTCATGCGTGTTTGCAGAATAAATCAAGCTGATCACAATAATATATTCATCTCCTTAAAGTTATGCTTTTAAACTAGACAGAGTGGGATTAAAAAAAAACATGACTGTTACACAGATGAACAAATACAGTAGTGTTTGATCAAAACAGATAAGTGCTGTTCAGGGAAATGAAATGCAAACATTAACCAAAAGGTCAAGTCTGAATGAGGAACAGTATTGAAAAAAATGACTCCCAACATCTTTGTACCAATGCAAACTGCAAACAAACTTAGGGAAATTGAAGCGTATCCAAGTGAAAGCATTCACAAACTTCGTATTCAACACACCAAGAACGTTCCAAAAGTTAATGCTCTCAGTAGTCGACCATTCTCGCACGAGATTTACTGAAACAGCTGTGAATGGGAGGCTCTTATAATATTCTTCATCACTCACAATCCTCCCCACCCAAACCCTCAGAGCAGTTAGCCCGTTTTGCCCAAAATATACAGTCAATTCACCTTACAGCATATTCTGTGCAGCGCTTTGAGACGTCTGAAAGACGTGATAAGGCACTATATCAATTGCAAGGATTATTATTGCCATTATGTCAGACGGCTACTCAAGGTCTTGAGTTTTGATCTGTTCAGTGTTCTTCTCCCAAAAGTTCACACCTTTAAGGAGTCCTGTAGCTCTGTGGCTAAAGCACTCGCCTTGCAAGCAGAGTCCTGGGTTCGATTCCCTTGGGCAAGTTTCCTTACTCCACATGCCTAATAATAATTATTAGTAGTAATATTAATAATTATTAGTATTATACTGCATCTGCCATCTTCTCACCCATATACCCCAGTTATCCCAGAAATTGTGTACATTGATTTGCACCATCAGATGCCCTTCAAAGTCAAATGATTCAATATTTTGTTGTGTGGCACAATATTAACAGGCGTACGAGATACGAGATTCCCAGCGTTGAGTAGGTACTGCTATCAAGAAAGATGGATAAATTTGAAGCTTTGCTTTCTGAGGATTAGACAAATAGTGTCAACGTATTTAAGTGGAAGCTGGTTGCATAGATGAGATGAAAGGGAAGAGAGGGGCATGGGAGGGGAATAGGAGGGTCATATAGAGTTCTAAACACAGGAAAGTTGGGCCGAATGGCCTGTTTCCTTACTGTAACATTCTTTGTAATTCTACACATTGTTCCTCATTTCTATTGGTAATTTCGTCGAGCTACTTTCCATTTCCGAATACGGAAATGAAAACCGAGGCTGTTTCTGCAATAATACCATATGGAGCAGGTTAAGATATGTTACAGTATTTATTGTGAATTGGAATTCTAGTAAATGACAATTGGATAACAGTAACTTCACAGATTGCAACATTGCATTTAAATACCTAAGTTTCAACCATTAATACGGCTACAAATGTAAAAGTCTTTGATATATTCGAAGCTATACCCATAACAGCATCGATCACGCAGCCAGGGAAAGCACAATACATCTTGTAGGTCGGAAAGAATCTCAGAATGTAGCTTCTACCTCCAAACATTGAAGGAAGTGAAAAGCACTGAACACAACCCAAAGAATGAAAGATGAAAAGAATTAACACAAAGAAGTGAAAAGTGCACAATCCTGCTTGTTTCGAAGCTCTCACTTTCCAATGCTTTCTCAGTTATAAATCGACTGCTCTCGTCTCCTCATATTTCCAGTTATATCTTGAGCTAAAGTGCGGCAAAGTCACTACGTATTACAAACAATAAAAGTGGTCGGCTCCTGGAAGTCATGTTGGAATGTGGGTGTGCTTCATCTCCTTCTGTTCCAATTACTAGAAGGTGTTCAAGTTAGTAAACTTACCTATTCAGAATCTACATTACTTGTTATTTCTATTCCAGGAATTGTGAGAACATCAATAACAATTAAGCCGTGCAGTTGGAGAAATGATCTCCTTAGATAACCAAAGCAAGCCCAACTCTGCCATTAATGTGGATAGATTATTAGAAAGAATAGCTAGTAGGTTAGTGAAAGCAAGGAACCAATGAACATAAGTTGGGTAGATGGTGTACACAGCATGACTCCAGAGCATTTTGAACACCCATCATATTAAATAGCCACATTTCCATTTTAATGAAACACAAAACATTCTAACAACCTTTTTTTCCCATTGTATTTTTTTAAAATAACCGCATAACAGGGCGTTTTCTCAACTAAAAGTAGCCCGTCACCTTCTTGTCAGGTTAGTTTGGATCTGATGAATTAACCCAAGGTAGCGAGGTGTTGACAGAACACATGTAATACACACTTTTCAATAAATAGCCCGCTAATAATAACTTTAACGAATTAGCAACATTATGCCATTGGACGAAAATAATACTTTTGCTCAACGCCAATGAAAGACTCTTTTAAATAAATTAAGCAACAGATGGCAAAGTCACACAAATACCAAAGTGCAATAATAATTAGAATACATGTTAACTTGTAATGGTCTGCGTGTTGGTCAAGAATGGAAATTAGGTGGTTGCTCTAATTTGTTTCTCTGTAAAGATGAAACTACCAGGTTATAAAGGGAGCATCGCTTTGTTGAACTTGCCTTAAAATGTACTACATTCAAGCTCCTAAGAAGTTATCTTGCACATTCCACTACTGTGCACAGCAGATCTCATTTGTGCTTCAATTTCCGTCAACCAGCTGTAATGATACCCGAATGGTGTTTTGTCAACGATTCCTGCCTGTTCGTGAGAAAGATATGTAAAAGTCAATCGTCTTGCAGTTAAACGCAATTCTCTGCTGAAATACCGTTCGCTCCCAGCACTTTCTTGCGCTTCGGCAAGAGTAGGACTTGAAATCCGAAATACTGTTCGTAAAAAGAAAAAAAGTATTGAAAAAAATAAAAAGATAAGTTGCAAAATATATTTATTCAAAGAGGAAATGTTTGGTACCATCCCTCAAGCAATTCTTGTCATTTTTAATGACATCATTGATATGCTTGATTTAGAGTGTTTCTAACTGCAGATGCTTGTTGGTGGGTGAGGATTAAATGGAAACCAGAACTTAGAATGTCCTACAAAAAAAATAAAAATTCCCAAACGAAATATCTCGCATCTTTCTAGAGAAACATTCCGGGTTACAGCAAAACAAAATCTGAGAGCGGGCGGATTGCTGGATACTGGGACACACACCTTAGTTTGGAACTCGCTCCACGCTGCCAGAAACGCAGGAAAGCAAAGACCTTTGGAACTCTTCACTCGAAGCTTCTGGGATCAGAAATTCCAACAGCAGGTCACATATGCAGTAGACCAGATGTCTGCAACACAACAAAATAAAGGTTTATGTTTATGTCATTAGTTTATACATAAGAGCTCTGGGAAGCAACCCCGGGTGAAGGGTGATATAAATGCAAATTGTTGTTGTGCGACACTTGATATCTGAAATGACAGCAAATTTTCTCTCAAAACATGATGGTGCCCAACTTTGACGTAACCCCAAAAATTGTATGTACAAATGTTTTCAGAGACAAGGACAATCCAAGGATAAAACTTCGAATGATAAAGATTTTGTTGGGATATCAATACCTATGAGGAAAGTTTCGCCTTCTGTAAGAACTGCATCTCCAAAGTATTCTTTACTGTGTCAGTAAAGAAACCTCTCGCTACATAAACCCTTCAGAATAGGCATGAAGAATGAATTAATAATAATAATCCTTGCATTTGATGTAGCGCTTTTCACATCTTCTTGACGTCCCAAAGCCCTCCACAGAATAGACAGTGAAGTAAATTGACGGTATATTTTTGTAACAAATATAAAGATGTCGTACGCATAGTTTACTGCGTCGTTGTATTTTTAAAAAAGGCTTCATTTACAAATTTACGCTGCTCGAAAATTGAAATCTCTGGCTGAAATAAAAGTAGAAAATCATCTGAACATCCTTCAGAAGCAGAGCCCTGTTATGGTCTGTTCAGAAGAAGTTCAGAATGAAATGGTACTGTGCGCTGGTGTAACTGTGCAGACTGGAATACCTCAAGTGTCCCTTTTCTCTCTATACACAGTCAGTTTCTAAATAAAACCATCTAAACCCTGGTGTAAAAACTCCGTTCAGCAACGTGTGACCCTAATGGAAAATCCCTCTGGTGGTCAACATCGACAAAGGCACCTCACACCGAACAGAATCTTTACCTACGCATTTCCAATTGGAGCCATGCAAGCACTGCACGTCATGTGGGTCAGAATATTTCAAACTGAAGGCGAACACCCCCCCCAAAAGAGGTTACGGTAGTGCGACTGGCAGTTAAATCGTACCCAGAAATGCATTCAGTTCCCTACCCCCTGGGTGCATGCACTGAGCTTCAATACAATTGAGTAAATCCCATTAAATCTGTGGGTGATTAACCTGATGTCAATCTAACACTCCACAGTCCTGTGTGATTTCCAATAAATGTCAGTTTGCGGCATAAAGTTAAACAGAATCCAAACACAAATCTCCATCAAATTGCAACTGGCCACCCAAGACCTCCTTCCATCGCTCAACGAATTAACCTTTTTATAGAGCAATTTATCTTTACAGATCGCCTCAGACTGTCCTGCACAAATCCACCCGTCTTTATAGTTCGTGCTCAGCACCTCTGGGAATCCATAAGGATTGCCATTTACCAAAGGTGGTCAAAGATTATCCAAGTTCAGTTATTATAACTGTCCACATTGTCTTTTTTTTCCCTGAAGATGTAGAATACCTCGCTTTCTTTTATTAGCACACAACGTACAAACGACTACCAGGTATGTGTTCAACCCAAGAAAAGCAACAACAACTACTATTGGATTTATATAGCGCCCTTCACACCAGATAGCGTTACCCAGTCACAGGGAGCCACCGAGACACTTACACCGAAGTGACAAATAATGAGAGAGTGCAGATGCACTAGGCAGGAGATTCAAACTACATACCCGCTGACAGATCGATTTAATTCCCAGAGCTAAGAGATTGAAACCCAGTGCACCATTCGGAATCAAAGGATCTTTAGGTTTAATGGATTTTCAATGGGAGCGATTATGTGTATTTTTGAACAAATTTGTTTAAAATTCCTTATGTAAGAAAGCTGGAAGTCCTTGACTCCAATGCACTGTCCAATGCGATCTATTCTCTACTCAAGGTGGAGTGAGTTTGAGTTTCCCATTCAGTTTTCTTAATTAAGAAATCCCATTAAATTAGCAGCGTAAAGTTGACCCTTTTTTTAAAAACAAGGTCCAAAAATCCCAAACACAGAGAAGAAAGATGAAGAAATCCAGGGAGTACAAATACAGACTCCTGGAATGTGTCTGTCTCAAAAGAGTACTCGTTCAAGAACATGGATTTTAAAAAAATCCTTCTGGATATTGTGTACAAATGATACTGCGATCCTCAAAGGGACAAAGTAAATGGATTTGGATCACGTGGCAGAGATATGGGTTCAGATTTAGACGTGTATGTTGACAGTTTTGTGAACGTTGAATTTCAAGTATTTGCGATTACAAAATCCAATAATATAGTGGAAATAGCCAAAACAGTGAAAACTTAAGAGGATCATGCCAAATATTTCCTGTAACTGACATCTGATCCACAGGTTTAATTGGTATTAAGAGTTTCAGTCCAGATGCATCTGATACAATTCAAAATTTTAAAATCACTAACTTATGGAGATATTTCAATTAATGTCTTCAATGAAAAAAAAGTACATTAGTACAGTAAGACACATGAGACTCATCAGTCGGGACCACAACATTTCATCTGACTTACGTGAAGTAAGAGTTGCACGTTTGTACGTAAATTGATATAAAATCAGACTTAATTAATAATCTACATACAGACTTCAATGTAAGTGCGAAAAATCCTCAAAGGGACAAAGCAAATGGATTTGGATCACGTGGCAGAGATATGGGTTCAGATTTAAACGTGTGTGTGTACGACATGTTGACAGTTTTTTGAACGCTGAAAAACCAGGTCAAACCATTTCCTCGTATTTCAATTCGCCCGTAAATTATGAGATGAGTCTGGAGATGATTTGCTTAATAAAACACCATCATTACAAAGAAATGTAAGTGGTTTGGGTAGAAAACTGAATGGGACTCAGGTCCATCAACAACTTAAGACGATGATACGATTTATAAAGCAGACTCATGCGAGTTTTACTGGCAAAATCAGTTACAGCCGCAGGGTCAATGTTAAACAATAAATCGCCACGCTTTCTCTTTTGGATGCAGGTTGACCCCCCTGTGGATTTTCAGAATTTCTGCTTTTGTTTCAGGTTTCCACCATCTGCAGTTTTCGTTTTATTTCTACAAGTAAAATGTAACTGGATATTGGCTACTGACAGAATTGCATGTATCTGATGCCAGGTAGCTCGGGAAGGGCACTTTGGGTAAACTACCTTCTTGTGCAAATGGAGTGGTAAAATGTATGTGTGTGCGTGTATGTGAGTCTGATCATAGCCAAACTGTCCGGAGAAGAGATGGCAGCAGCATGAAAACATCAGCAGTAAAATCTCCTGCGACTGTAATGGAAAGATTACAAGGAAGGAATGAGTAAAAAGTATAGCACGAGAGAAAAGCATCTGTTGCATAGACATAAATAATGCTCTGACTGAGGACCTTAACTCACCTGGTAAAAGATTTCATTAACAGAAGGACATTGTGGGGCTTTCATGCTATTGATGGTGTGTAAAATTCTCATATTCAATATACACTGGATACTATTATTTTACAGTAAATCCTGAGAAGCGGTTTGAGACGTCTGCGCGATGTGATAAGGCGCTATATCAAATGCAAGGATTATTAATATTAATTGTGAACCTTTGGCCTCTTTTTCTGTTACATAATGATGACTGAGGCGGAATCAAGACGGAATTTAATTTAGTTATGCTCATTCTCACTTAAAAACATATGCCTAACACCATAATCATCAGCTCGCAAGAATTAAAACGTTTTATATTTATTTCCCCCACTTGGACCTTAAATCTTGTGTGCAGGCAAAGTAAAAGTGATAGAGAACATTATTCATAGCTGGCACAATTCTGCATTTCTGCTTTAACTTGTACTTGGGTGGCAAGTGCTGGAGTAAAACAGCCAACTGCTCTCTGTAGAGCAACCTTATCCCTTGTTGGTTCCTCACGCTGGCAGGTGTTGTATTAACTATCCCTCCAGGACAGACCTGCTCAAAGAATTATTCAACTCGTGGAAAAGCAAATTTCCTGTCTGGCCACCTTGCCCTCTCTCTCTCTCTCTCGGAGAGTTTGCAGTGCTCTGAAATGTCCTGAACCGCTTCAACAGTCATGTAGGTCAGAGGATTTTATCAGAATGCAATTTCTTGAAAACCACAGTGCTAATTACCTCAAAGATCCGAATAAAACACGGCCAGCTAAATAACAACAATCATCCTTACATTAGAAATAGCACCTTTCACGTCGGGGTAGCTTGAGGTCAAACAGTGGGTTCAGCCTTTCAGTGATTTGTGGGATTCAGACTTTTTATGAAAGTCCAAACCTTTTGAATTAAAAGTATGCAAACTGCGAAATTAGCCAACTGTGGAGTGGACGAAACTCACAGCCCATTAGCGGATGCAAACGCCTGGATTCAAACCCACACTCAAGTGTGGTGATTACTCGACTGGGTGACCTGCGATGGTTGGGAAGCTTGGGTACGTGTGTTGACATTGGATGACGATTGGGAAACAGCGGCTGGTTATTGCTCCTGATCTAAGGGCTCTGTGACGCTAACCCACCTGAAGGGCACTACATAAATGCAAGTTGTTGTCATTGTCTCTAGCTAGAAACCCCTAGCACTTTCTCTAGCTGGGAAGCGCATGTGTGGATGTGGGATGAGTCAGAGTTAGGCTCTCGTGTGATGGCCAACCATTCTCAATCAAATAACTCTCCACACGCCAAAGCTCACACACGCGAAAACCGGTGCCACTTAGCCCATTGGCGGAATACGCTGTGGAAACGTACCCAGGAGACTCAAAAAGGGAGTCGCACGCTTTCTGAAAGGGGAAGAGAAGAGAAGGAAGACTGCCGACAAATATTAGATACGGTAATATGTGCCACATTTTGCAGACTAAAATACGCAGTCAAATCACTTTACAGTACATAATCTGAAGTGCTTTGAGACGGCTCAAGATGCTATATCAAATGCAAGGATTATTGTTGTTATTACAATAAACGTGGCTAGGGAATCGGCAACGTGCAAGGAAGTCATTACACCATATGTTGTGCAGAAACTCGCAGGGTTAAATTAACACACCTGAGCCAGATGAGGTTCACCCTGGAATGTTTAAACAGGGACATAAAGTCTAGAAGGAGTACATTATGTTCAAAGCACTGTGATTGAAAACAGTCAAAAAATATATTGTTACAATACTTCCCAACGGTTATAATTCCTTGTTTTAACACTGCCTGGAACCTGCACACAGCTTCGGTGGTATAACGTTGGTTATAAACTTACCTACTTGTGTTAAAAGACTGGCATAATTATGGTGAATTCTGTGGATTTACCCAATTGTGAGCTCGTCTGGATCCCCCTCTCCCACGCCAGGAAATTGCATTTACTGGTGACACCAAGCTTAGGAGAAGCTGTGAAATCATGGGATCTTACCAAGAGTTCAACAGGGTACACACCAAAGCTGATCACTGGCAAAAGAAGCACAGCACTGTACACACAAATGTAATGCATTCAACTAAAGTCCACAAAATATACAGTCGATTCACTTTACAGTATATTCTGTGAAGCGTTTTGAGACGTCTCGAAGACGTGATAAGGCACTGTATCACATAAACCCCGACTGCAGCTCGGGTCTGAAATGCTGTACTCTGTCCAGCGCCTTGGGACATCCTCCTGACGTGAAAGGCGCTATACACATGTAATCTGGTTGTTGTATTGAACTGCAAGGTTTATAGTTATTAAAGGAAACTATGAAAAGTGCCCATTAGCAGAAGCAAGAAATTAGAAAGATCTAGACAACATCGTGGATCCTTTGGTCCATCCAGGAGCTTTAAAGAAGTGAAGCGATCTGTTTCATTTTAATGCATCTGGTGTTATTTTCTAGATAAGATTTATTAACACTAAGCATGTTTAAGAGTGAAGAAACAGTCTTGCGAACTTCAAGGGGAAAAGCCAGAATTTCCTTGTAAATCTGCCAGATTTGTATCAAACTTTCTGACGCTTTATACCTGTCACATACATGATGAAGCAGTTACTGCGGATACTTACCAGTGAAGGCATGCACCTAAACTTTTTATTATTATTTTAAGTGACAGTTTTACTTACGAGAGCAGTGCCATATCTTGCTTTCTCTCTGAAAGTGCTGTTATTTTTTTTCTTGCTAAACTCATTCACGTACAAGCATTTTCTTCAAGACTTTCGTTCCTTCCTGCGAGACTGAAATACCTTCTCTCGTCAGTGCTCGAAGCTCTGCATGTTAATTGTGGTAAAATTGCAGCTAACAGAAGGAACGTCGATCAAAAATTTTTACGTCCACCTTGCTAAACTTTGCAATTTTCATAACGTACCATTATACTGATACACAAAAAGGCAAAGTTAGGAGGAATAGCCATACCAATGCTGAATTATTACGGAGAAAATTCAACTCGAAGCTTGTGTATTTGTGCAGTTTCTTACGTTTAAATGGAGAGTTAAACACCTGATGCTCTGTTGGGGAGAAACTCTACCTGCGTCTAGATTTGCTCGATTGAGGCAATGTTTTACGGAGTTCAGAATTTGGCAAACTGTTAAACTCAGCCTCAATTATAAAGTTGGTGCTCTGTAAAAATTCTGAAAAGACCTTTACGGGAAACCACCTTCCAAATTACGGTCATATTTAAGAATTTGCCAAATTCTGGACGCTCCATAAATACTATATAATATTACTAATACTTCAACTCCATAAATGTTACATAAATAGAGCAAATGTCAACCCTGGGGAGTTATTCCCCATGTATTGGACCAACCTGTTTATCAAAGGATTCTGTAGCGAGTCTAAGATGTGACGCCAACTCTTGCGATATCCCTCTTCACCAAGGACCTCAGGCACCAGAGCTGTCGAAGAGCAACAGAACAGACGCATAATCAGAAGACGTGCAAAACAATCTCAACTAAATTCTTTTTTGCTACAAAAGATCTCCCCAGGAAATTTGGGTGGATGTTAACGTTTTCGTGAGGGAGCAAAGTGAAAACGGTTCTTCCAACTCATCAGTTCCCATGTTCTGCGCTCACATATGTAATTACAGGGAACTCTATAAATGAAACAACTTAAACTATCCATGCATTTGTCTTCAGTTCCATGTTATGCAGTTTAGAGTTTAAATCCACCAGATTTAATCGAAAAACGCATTCCATGTCAAAAAATTCAAATTATGGTGATCAATACTGTGGTCATTAACCTCAAGGCTACTGTGTGGAACCTTCATCACCGGGTCACTACAAATGCACTCACTGCTTTGGGAAGGTGTCACCAAGATGCCACAAACAGCCTTGAAGTTAATGGCCAACTAATATGGAGGAGAAACTGCTGCTCCCTTTGAGTAGTGCTAAGGAATTGTAACATCCACCCGAGCTGCAGACGGAACGTTGTTTTAACGTCTCATTCAAAGGACGGCACCTCAGATAATGGAGGACTCCTCCATTACTGCACTCAAGGGTCAGCCTAGATTATATATGTTCCAAGTGCTAATGTGGAGCTCAGAGACGAAAGTGCTACCAACATGACACACTGACAAATAGCTTAAAAGCATTTTGTCTAGGTCACATTCAGAGTCGCAATCTGTCAAATATAAGTGTTTCAGACTCTTCTGGTGATCATAAATGAACCGCCAACAAGTTTTAGACATGTGTTAACTGGCGATCGAATCTATTAGTCATTAAACAAAACCTTTCAATATAAAAGGATAAACACTAAAATTAACTAAACTCATGGTGTCTAAATGGTCTGTCCAACTAAACGAGGCAGAGCAATGTTTGCCACAGCCGAAGTGTGAAGTGTTTACACAAGAGTTTAAAACTCGAGATATGATCTTAACAATAACAGTGCAGCTTGACAGTTGTTTTGCAGATGGCAGGCAAAGTACTAGAACCACCAACAGAATATAGGATCAATTAACTTACTAAAGACCAGAGTACAATCACGCATAAGTTTTTTTTCCCTTAATCAGCAATAGGCTCCAGAAGGTCATGACAATTGACAGCAATTACTATGAAGCGCCTTGAAATTGTTTTGACGTATAAGACCCTATGAAAAGCAGGTTCTTTCTTTCTTTACGTTCTCAGAAATACCGCTCCACAGGTTAGTTACAACAGTCTCTAATATGAGTGAGAGAATGCTTGGAACTAGTGAGATAGTTAGCTTCAAGTAGAACTTCGAAAGGCAGAAATTACTGTCAAAGAACCAAAACAACTTAAAAATCAGAAATATTGTTTATCTGAAAAAATTGGAGGAATGAAAAAGTTATCATTGAAAGTCATTGCAATGCTTTAATAATTTCAAGGATTTACTCCTGAAATTCTCTCAACGATCAAGGGTATTTCAAATAGGACTGCAGGAACCTGCACACTTATATTCACGGAAATAAATGATTTGGGGTGAGATACATTGCCTTAAAATGTACTCAATAATATATTTTTTAAAGTTTTGATGTAGTATCTTTAAGTCTAAAGTACTTGAAAAAACGAACCATTTTGAAATGGCTGTTTTTATTGATTAAATACGTATCAGCGATAACCCACATATACAAATCTAATCAGATTCTCAAGATATGAACTTCCACCACTTATCTTAACGCTATTACGGACACAACAGATTCCTTCTCCCCTACACATACTTCCCCTGTCTGCAGTTTGGTTTTGCGCGACAATCAGACGTACAAGCTTTGAGACAAAGAGAATTTCGATATCTTATTTAACGATAACAGTCCTTTCAATTTACAACAAAAAAAACACAGTGCATTAACCTGGCAGTAACTTCATCAGAGACTGGTAGGCTTGTTCTTGCGTCTGCTGTTTCTGTTCCTGTGACCTGACCGGCTTTGGCCATTTTGGCAGAGTTCCTCCAGGCCAGATAGCTTCCTGTAAAAGCCTGAGGTACACAACCCAGTGTTGGGTGCACGTCAAGTTAGCAATCTGCACCTCAAGCCACCTGCAGGCAGAAATTAAACGGTGAGCCAAGGCTGTAAAGAACATGTGCATGACATTAGCTGAACAATTAGTAAGTGATCAATCATCCCCTGCGTGTATGAAATTAAATAGGACAAACAAACCCTTATCGTACATTCTTACATAAATATTGTAAAGATGCACATTTCAACTTACATTTAATGGATAAACAAAACAGAACGAGGGGAAAAAAACGGTTACTTCAGTGCAACTAATTTTTAAAAATATATGCATCTCCCAACTGTAAGAGATAGATACTTAGGGTTGAGCAGCCATTTCAGCAACATTGAGAAGACAAAACATTATCCAAGTTATTTAAACATAAAGAAGAACGTGGGAGCTCGCGTAAATGTTAAGAGAAACATTTAACATTTCCCTCTGGATCCTAATATCAGGGCCATACAACATATAGGAATCTCGCATCTCAAAAAGTCACCAACTCTACCCTCCTCAGTCACTTGGTCCTACTACTTCCATGATCTCTATACTGTTTTCTAATGAAATGTTGTCCTTTTCTGCAAAACAGCACAGTGGTTAACAAAGTTAACTCCAATACTCCAATGTTAGTGATGGTATTCGGAGAAAGTGTGGCATGATTTCCAGCTTTTGTGGTTATCGGGAATTCGAGGTAAGCCACCAACACATGAGATCAAATCTGCTCTTGTTTTTCCGAACCTAATTGCCCTATGAGGACAGACGTAACTACTGCAACGCCAGGTAATTTAAATGTACTCCAGGATTAGCTGTAAGAATAGCACACAACCATCTGATAACGTTTTGCAATGTTAAACTGAGAGGTATCTGAAGAAAATACATATGAAAGCCATTACTGCTCCCAGAAATCTTTTGCAAAGAATATTAACTCTGTTTCCAGCATAAATTTAAGGTTGGGCTTTCATTTTATCTGCAATCAGAGACGATATGTGAACGAGCTATGTACACAAACAGAAGCAATTAAAGTAAACACTGGGTAAAAAAAAATCTGGGTGGTCCAGTGATGAATCCAAACCTAACGGCTAATTAAGTAGCTCCTGTAACAGAGGTGATATGCATATTCTTTAGCATAAATGAATTGCATTTCTCTGGATCACCTAGATTTTAAGATAATTAGCGAATGATCACTAGAATACTGGGAAGTTCCTAGTTCAGTACAAAGGGATTGTTACTGAAATGCTGACCGCATAAAAAAACCTCTGCCTGCTGCAAACTTTAAAAGAGTCAAGACACTTTGAGACTAAAGGACACTAAATTGCAGGGAAAAAGTCAGGATAAAATCATCGAGATTAATTACAATGATCATATAATCCTCTACAATTAAGGGTCAGCTTGGGTCAGTTACAACAGACTCGCGCATCTGGGTGAGAAGGCTGTGTGTTCGAGTCGCATGTCAGTACTTGGGGACCCTTTATAGGGCAGTACTCCATTGGGGGAACACTATGTGTTCATAAGAACATAAGAATTCGCTCGACGAAAAAGTCCAAGGTCCATCTAGTTCACCTTCCACCATCCTGGCAGTCACGTGAAATGTCGTGTCCCCACTGTACACTGTGTCCCGAGATATTATTTTCTTGCGGAAATCGATCTATTTGTTGTTGAAACAAATGACATTTTCTCCTTCCACTGTCTCCCTGGCGAGCCTGCTCCATAAATTTACTGCTCGAAACAGTCCCCTTTGCCAGTTTAGAGGGACTGTAAAGACCCCGCTGCATATGAAGTTTAAAATTTATGCGTTTGCATTTAAAAGCTAACTAAGCTCCTGACGCATTCCTTTTGCAGTTTTCAGTTCATTACAATCCAGGTTCAAACCTGATATAAACTGATTACAATTTCAACTTTGTGTGTGTGCCCTTTGGTGCCGAACTGTTCATGTTTAAACCAGGGCCCCATAGTAGTAGGTGAAAACTAATGTAAATTACTGACCACGTTTCTTCATTGAAGATTTCCTCCATCAAGCAATACATTTTCGGCAAAGTTAATAAATCTAACCGCAGTGGCCACAAATGTTTGACAACTTGTTTGAAGTAGTTCACCGCTTATTGCTTATTTTGGCTGCTGGATGTCAAACTGATGTGAACAATCCAATCGTTACTGATTTCTGATGCACAGCGCTTTAACTAGACGTATATTAATACTTGATATCCGCTTGACACCTGCTCCCTTTTCAGCTCGCGTACAAATGACATAAATGTCTCTTTTTATATAAAAAAACTAAACACTGGGCCGTGCAGTTAAATCTCAGGGTCTAAATCGCAGCAGTCTCAAAAGGATTTGTAACTAACAAATCCCAGATGCACCAGAGATAGCCTGCTGCAACTCTTCTTGTATGTCAATTTCACAGAATTTGTAACTGAGATCAGCGTTCAGCAGAGATTTGGAGACACGAATCTCTGATATTCATGACTTAGCAATGTTTGCCGTCAAAACATAATCGTTTGTGTGCAAATAAATACACTGATAAAAATTAAGAAATACATCAAGACAAACTTCCTGAGCACAGACAGGTAATTATTCCAAAAATAAATGGGTCGCCATTCTCACTATCAGCTTCTACCATACACCATAATCCTTGCATTTGACAGCGCCTTATGAAGTCGTGGAGTGTCGTTGACTGTATATTTTGTAGGTGATTAATATCGAATCACATCCTACGCAGATACTATGTTGATCAGATTTGAAGTCTAATGTATTTCAAATGGAAATTGAAGATACTTGTACAATTACTCAAAGCTCACAAAGAGTGTTTCACTAGAAATTGTTCTTAAACAATTCAAGTATTCAAGAAAAAAAGGTTGCACTTGAAATCTCTACAACAATCTAAGCACTATTTAGAATGGTTAATATCAATGGGAAGCTTCCCGCAGCAACACTAGTCCACTACACTTTGTCGACACATACATAATGTCTCAATACTTACTGTGTTTAAGCAGGCATTTCTTTTTTTGTTCATACTAGAATTTAGCTCCAACCGAAAACAAAAGTGGGTCTTTAGATCATGGTGAACAACTTGTCCTGCTTTTAGGATCCTTTATAGAAAACCACCTCCATTTCACCAGGACTTCGACGTCATTGAATTCAATTTGCAATCCATCCTTCTGATTTGCGTTCTTCTGAGCGAGTCGAGCTCAGATTTCTTTTATTAAAACCGATAACCTAAACAAAACCGCCCAGATACATCGCTGAACCCTTCCAGATGAAATCCTTTACAGTGTTCAAGCACACTCATTTTCTTCATGATTATGGCTTCTTCCAGTTTGTTACTTAACAGAAAAACAATGGCAAAAACTAAGAGTTAAGAATAAAGAGAACAAGTGTTCTCCTCTGTGGCTTTCCTGCAATGTTGCACTATGTTTTTGAGCATCGTGCTGAAACGGATTGAATAATTTTTCAAACGATTTAAAACAAAGCCTTACTTTCTGCGCCTCGTCCTTTTTCTTCAAACATGCACAAGTCCAAACCATTCCTGTCTCTGGGTACAATTACTACTTACCTCAGGTAAGGCAGGCGATTAAGTTGGAAACATTTGGGCATTTTAAACTCAACACCAAATAGCTGCTTCTATTCAAAAAAAATTGTAATATAGAGCAATGACATTTCATAATCATTGTGACAACTACTCTCGTTACCTCTAAGCCTGTTTAGACAACAAAGACAGGTTCAGAGGCCGAGCAAAGGAGGAGAGGTGACAGACCTAATCATTGAACTTCATGAACAGCTCAAATGAGTTTACTGATTGATATTCATTGCATCCCAAGTTTTGTTCAGTGGCTCTGAGCATTTCTTAAAAGCCAGCTCACCCAATGGTTGCAAGATCACTACATGGGGAAGGTTCCACTTGAATATGACCTAAAAGGTCTCATTTGTTCTCTGAATCACTTCATATCTACTCACAGCAGTATTAGTCGGGGCAAAGAACTGGATTCAAATTCGAACCAGATCAAAATTCAAACCTCACGCTTACCTTATAGCTAAGAGACATTCAAAGATGAGCTTTGGAAGCTCAAATGGCCTCAAAGAGGAAAAGATGCCAACTTGTGAAAATGTCTGATGAAATGTTTCTTTATTAAGAAACATATAGTACGTGTAGCACACAGTACTTGTCTAGCAAGGACCACTTTACGTGTTTAGGCTTTGTTTTGGATAAAGACAAGTCCGCTCTTCCAAATCTCCCCAATGAGCCTGACAGGATGATCAAGCACTAACATGAGCAGTCTAGTTTTGTCAAATTCAAAGAAACTTTGCTTACTTCCAGGTGGATCTGTTTAGACATGGTACTGATCTATCAAAAGCAAACAGGGTGAAGGATTGAGTACAGACTGGGATCCAAACTCAACCGAGCCTTGTGATTGTAAGCCAGATCAACCAACTGTGTTATGCAGCATGTTTTGCAATTATCTAAATTTCTTCAGCAAGAAGGTTCTACAATTGCTGACAAAAACAGTTCTTTGGTTTCCAATCCTAAATCATTTAAAACATGGCAAGCTTCACGGACGCTGAGATAGATGCGTTCCATTCCCCTCACAATATGTTTCCAACTCATTCTAACTTGCCCCATTTTCCCAAACTCTGTAGGCTCTAAAGTCGGGAGAACCTGCAAATGATAAATACTGATAGTAATCATCTTTGGGTCTTCCATTCTGGGATGGGAATGATCGATCTGTGAAGCGCTTTGAGACGTCTCGAGGATGTGATACGGAGCTATATCAAATGCAAGGATTATTATTATCCTTTAGCTCTAATAGGATTGCAGTTTAAAAGCCGTACAAGATGCATGTTATCTTTTTATCAACAATTCTAAATATGGAGATGTTCATCCAACTATTGTTCATATTCATTTACATTCCTGTCCTTTCTGTGGATATATCAGAAGGTAAGTAGTTCAGGCTGATGTTGCATTTATTGAAACAAGTGTGCGTGACCTGGCATAACTTATTAATGTCTCAAAGGCACAGAAAGCACAAGGAAGCAATTGTGCCTGCTACATCT